TATATATATATAGACAGCTGTTTCAGCCTATTGGGCATCGTCAGTAACGGGCAGGCGGTCCTCGATTGAAGACAAAATGAGAAAAACTAAGAAAGTATTTGATAAAAATAGCTGCGTAAACGCAAGCAAAACATAGGTGGAACCACCTATTGGTGTGACACCCAAGTCAACTTGCCAAGTTTTTTATGGGGTTTTACCAAGAAATCAGAGAAGGTTGTGGATTTACCTACGTGAACTATTTCAAACAGTGGCCCAAGAATAACACCAGATTAGCTTCATTGAAGAACAAAAAAATATTCCTTTTGAAATGCAGAAAAGAACAGCTTTTTCCCAAACATATTTTTTATGGATTACGCAATATTAATAATTTGATACATCACGAAGAAGGAAGAACTGGCCGCCAAATCCAACTTTCCAATTATAATTTGAAGAAAAAAATACTCAATTTGGAAATCAGCATTACCATAAGTGACATTAATAAAATTAACAAGGAAATTGATACCGTTCGAAATAAGTTTAACATAATTCCTAATCATATCATTTCTGAATTTAAATGAATATCTATCACAAAATTCAATAGAGATTTTCATGAGATAAAAATGAGAAATGTACATAAATTTCACGAACTTAAATTCAATGAAATTTCAAAATTGAAAGTAAATGATGAATGGTTTAAAAATGTTACAGATTTAGAAATTCCATTAGAAGTTACACAAATACTAGCATTGGGAAAAAGTTTCGTATTTGCTCTACAAACACTGATATAAATATGAATTCTTTTTTGTCAGATTTAGAGTTAATAATCTGTGAATTGGATGAAAGTGAAAAAAATCTCTATAGAGCTCAATTAACTAATATTTTTGATAAATTATTTACATGAAGACGGTAGAAACTCACATTTTCTATTACCATTATTTGAAAAATACAAACAATTTCTTAGAGAACATCCTGAAATTTCGATATTGTACAGTAATAAAGGTCACAGAAGTTATGTATAAAAAAGACTAAATTTGAAAAAGTCAACTACTTATTGATGATGAAAGCTACTATAGACCTTTGAGATCAGATCCAGCAAGTACACTCGAACAAAAAGCAAATGAATTAGTTTCAAAATTTTATAATAAAAAATATATAGGTAAATGATAAAAAAAATTTAAACAAATATTATTCTGTAGCACCTGGATTTTACTCTCTACCAAAAATACATAAACCAGTACTTTTCATGAGACCCGTTATAATATGCTCTATGAATTATCTTAATATCAATCTTTGTCAATTCATTACTAAAATTCTCACAGATGCTTATAACACAAATAATATGGTTCATGTTAAAGATTCATTTCCTTTCAGTGAATTCATTACCAATAAAAAACTTTCAAAAAATTATGTCATAATAAGTTTAGATGTTGTGTCGCTTTTCACCAATCTTGCCAAAGAATTAGTAAANAAAATTCTACAAACGTTGTTTTTTAGAAATGATACATATAAATAAAGAATTAAAATCCATGAATAAAAAAACTGACTTAATATGATATCAAGAAAGGTTAATTGCATATATAAATGTTAATTAAATTTTTACTTTTCAGCTTTTCAGTTATTTGGAAAGGGAATGGTCATGTAGAAAAGATATAAGTGTCGAACCAGAAGAATTCTCAGTATGGTCTTTCCACAGCTATGATAGTCCAACTAAAATGACGCTAGATCTTGGGATGCATTCACTACATAAGAATGGTTCTTTGTTGATGACTTTATACTGCCCATTCTGGATGCTGAATAAAACAGGTCTTTTGTTAGCATATAAGGTGAGTTATCTGTCAAGGGTTTATTATTTCAGGCGTCCCAACATACCTCATGTACTACTTAATAAATCTGATAATTTTCTTTAATTCAAAATATCAATTTCAGTCAACATGACAAATCAGTTGGGTAAACAGTTATTTCAATAAATTGATACATACTTGAAAATATTTTTCAAAACAAGTTTTCATTACCATGCTCTAAAAAGAATTAAATGAGCTTTTTAATCAATTCAAATCCATCAAAGTATTATAATACACAAATATTTGAATAAGCTGTATACGAGTATGATCCTTTCGATTTTTTCAAGTTTGACGCTGATTTGACAAATTACAGATGACATATATTGGTTCCCCCGTTCTGCGCACGTGCTGTAACTTAGAATTTATCAATTACACAACATGGCAATGGATGAATCGCAACGAGAGTATATCTAGATTACATCGACACTGCGTTTGCAGTGAGAATTCTGAAATATATTCTCAATTATTTTCTAAAATTATCACTTGTTTCAATTTCCGGTTAACGAGTATTTTAGTCGGGGTTAGATTTAAAAAAAAAGCCCTCCGTTACCATCCTAGAAGCATTTCATGTAACAATTGGATAAATGACCCCGCTGAATCGGAAAATACCGTTTATCAAGTCGAAATTCCAACCTGAAGTGGGATATTCAAGATGGCATCCAAAATACCCCTAAATCATATTATTTTTTACTTTTTGTCACCCATACGACTAAGGTGTTGATGTACATGTTTTCGGGGGTGTAAAACACGATAAGACACTTAAAAATCAATTTGGAACATTTAAAGTTCATTATATAATTAAATTTTGACAAAATGGGCCAAAATTAAAAAAAGTTGTGAAAACGTGTTCCATATGTTTTCATATTTTCTGGAGGGCGCTGAATGCGCATTCTCCCTCTAAAAATAATTTGGTACATTTAACGTTCACTAAATTCTAACATTTTAATGCTCTTCATAATATGGAGGGGTTGTTTGTTCAATAACCTTACTGAAAGTGGTCGATGGCGCGCGACTATCGTACTGCCTTTCTTCTACACGCCATCTATTTAAAATTTTGTGCCATGCAGTGTCTGCAACTGAGCGTTTTCGAGAAGGCCGTGAGTCAGGTGCCGGTGATTCTCCGGAATATAGTGCTGTGAAACATACAGTATTTCCATATGTATACTTGCAGTGCTCCAAGGTATGTACAAAAAGTGATTAGGGGTGCAAAGTGATTTACATGCAGCAATAAAGATAGTACTTCGACGGATGCACATACGACAATATATGACTAGCCTAGGGGTTTGAGGTTAGGTTTTCATATGGATATTTGCTCTCTTTTCAGGTTTTGATGTAACTATATTCAGGATAGACAACAACAATTGCAATTCAGAAGAACCGTCTGTAGTTAACAGCAATTTGTACCTTATTTCTCAAAAACATCTTTCGAAGTTGTCCAGTCAGGGTGCAACCAAGCTGGTAGAATGTGCTGAACAACGCAACACAGCCCACGATTGTCAATTCGGTGGTGCTATACTGAGAATTTCACAAAATTTACGGGGTCCAGCATGTGAAAATAACTTTGTGACTCATAATAACTGTTATGCAACATTTACTGCGAAAATAAATATCGAAACGCTCCAACAGAAAAACAGGTGCTGCGTCTCAAGATTTAAATTTTTGAAATTTATAGTGTGCTGGCAAGACTCTGAAGAGCATCTACGCTTAGTGATGTCAACAAATATACACATGAAAGTAATAGAGCTTTCCAAATATGACTACAACCTAAACATTAGAGTGAATGCAGTTGGTGATTTGATGCCATGTACCATGTCTCGTCAGGCTAGGCAGAGTAAAAGATGCGATGGATGCGGCGACAAAAATGAGGACCAGAGAAACATGCTACCGTTCTGGCAACTTCGCAAGGAACTTCGAGTTGCTGCTTCTCTCGAAAAGTTTAGTACCAGTGTTTGTGAAGGACAATCGAAATCAAAAAGTAGATTCAAACTAATGTACACAATAATTTTTATTTCCAGATATTGAAATTGGAAGATGTATAGCAGAGGTACGTGAATCTAGCAAAGGGCTTACACGTTGACATCCGAGTTTCATTTGAGTCCCTGCGAAGTACTTTTAAAACTAAGCTGGAAGAGAAATTGGGAGAAATTTATCAGTTTTTCCAACATTTTAACAGAGATGTTCAGGAGAGACAAATGTTGCTCATTTCCTTACAAGTAGGTAAAAAGGCGGCTGCTGAAAACTTCTTGAACGTGGATGGTGACTCTGATTTACCTTCGCACGAGCCTGACAATTATTTTCGTACTATCGAACAATATGCTCTGAAAGCAAGAAGAGATTTGACGGCCCCGCCGGGTCATTCTGGTTTCGGGATTTCCCAAGGTTTGTTGTTATTTCTGTTAGAGACACCGATATGATTTTATTATTCATCTATCACTTTGAAAAAATGAAATTCAAGGAACGCTGGTTGATGTGTGGTACTTCCCAAGACAGAAATTATATTCCAATTCACGAACTATGTAAGAAGCTCACAACACAACAGATCAAAAACCTGATGGCTTTCGCTCGCAATCACCGGATGCGATACTACATCTAAGTTAGCGTCACTCTCAAAAACAGGAGGGTGGAAGTAGTACATAGAAGAAAACTACTGTAAACTTCTCAGTCAGCTTAGAAAGACTCCTGATCTGGCCCCCGAGGATTTCCGTTTGGTTGAACAGTTTGTGGTGCAAGCTTTATAAAAGGTTTGTTGCGTCTCTTTTCTATGACAAATGGCGAATAGAAACTGTTAGCCGTTTAAATATTAATATCATTTTTATTTGAGGTTGGACCGGACATTACAACGGCAATTACGCAGCACGTGTTGCAATCTTTGGGACAATGCGAATGCTAGAGTTTTTGTCACCTACCACAGATGCCCTCCGTCAAAACATTCTTCGGTGTCACTTCCAGGTAAAATTAACAAGAAAAAAACAAGAAAACAGAAAAAATCGAGGGATTTCAAATTTATTCTGTTTCATTTTTAGGTACTTGTAGATTAACGCCCATGATCAGTGTTCTGATTTACCAGACCAGATTAATTGCGGCTGAAAAATTGTTGATAGACGGTATGTCCCAATCTTGATGACTTTGTCACCTATTTCCAAGTCATGTCCCAAATTTGAAGCTTGTGGCTGCAAGGAGCTCTGCGGCAATCCGACAGCACACATGGTTGACATCTTAGTAAATTTTTGATATGCTATTGTGCGTCAACAAATATGTGGACCCCGTACTTCAGTGTCTCGTGGGGAAGTATCTCATTGCGAACATTATATTTTTTGTGTATGCTATTAGAGTCAGTTTGCTATGATGGAAGAAGACACAGTTATGAAGCAAAAATGTGGTTTGAATGCATCAGAGAATTGTTAAGGAATTTAGTAAATTTTCATGTTCAATTACCTGAAAGAATGTCTAAGTATTAAGAACATTCGGTACCTAACGAATCTTAAATGATTCAAAGTAATTTCAGAGAGGACCCTGTACATTATATTTCAGAAATCTCATATTCATCATAATAAATCTATGATTCAAAGTAATTTGAACTTTCCATTACGTTAATATGTATTTCTCCTAGTTTATAATAATGCAAGGTATGGTAAGGTAAGGTAATGCAGAGAGGTGAAGTGAGGTATCCATTTTTTAACGTTCACGAAAAAGTAAAGTATGAAGAATTGCCAGAGTGACTAGGTATAGGTTCTGGTAATTTTTGAGTTGGCAGAAATGCATAAACAAATACTGACTTTTCATAATCTTGACAGCAGCAATCATTCATATGAAATAAATAATAACTTTCATTTCTATAATATAATGGAATACGCATATTTTATATCATTAATAGAACAATACCCAAATTCCACAATTGACGTTTTGTTTATCTGGTGACATTGCCTTTACACCATTCGGATATATCCGTCAAAGTTCGAAGTATGGCGCTTTCTGATTGGTCGGAGGTAAGAACGCAACACAGAAAGTTGAAAATAGCCAACTTATTACCTTGCGTTACATTGCCTTACCGACGTCACCTTACCTTACTTTTTATCTGGAACGCAAGTGTGTTTTCTCAATGCTTCAACTTTCTGACCTTACCTTATCTCGTTACCTTGCGTTTTTATAAACTAGGGGTTTGAATGTGTATGTTGAATAATTGGATAATTAATTTCATAATATGTAGTATAATTCACTGGAAATGCCATTCATAGAATAATTATACGGAAGTCATCTAGTTATAGTATATATACAGGAGATTATTATGAACTATTTGAATTGTGATTTCAGAAGACCAATGTGCTATACAAATTGAGGTTAGTATTTTTTGTTTTTCAGCTTCAGAAAAATATGAAAAGTAAGTTTGATTCTTGTAAAATTTTTCCAGGTTCAAGAAAATTAAATCTAATTGTCTTCCTTTGAAAATCGTAAAAATGAACAACGAAAAAATGGTAATATTTTCAATTGTCTTTATTTTTCAATATAATATATTAATATTTCAAGGTCATGAAAGTGGTGAAAACAAATCAATCTGTCTATATTCCTACCAGATCAACCTTTGCGTGCACCAGATGTGCAAGTGCAAGGCAAGGTGCCAGAATAGAGTAGAAGAAGATGAAGAAGACTACTAATAGTTGGTTAAATTCTTTAAAAATGTGGGAAATGAAGGCTTGGATAATGTTTGAATGCTTTTTTGAGCTCATAAACGTATTAAGCGCCCTCGAAAAGGTTTGCAAGCATATACTATACGTTTTCACAAGTTTTTTGGAATTTTAATTAATTTAATTATACAATAATGAACTTTTAATTATCCAAATTGATTTTTAAGTGTCTTATCATGTTGTACACCCCTGGAAACATAAATCGACGCCTTAGTCGTATGGTTGACCAAAAGTAGAGAATAATATGATTTTAGGGCTATTTTGGACGCCATCTTGAATATTCCACTTCAGGTTGGAATT